GGGGCTTCCATGAGGGCTCCAAGCCCCTTCATAAGGGACTGCCTCCCCAGAAGGGCACTGAGGTCCCCCCCTCCAGTAAGGGCTCATTTCCCCCAGTGAGGGATCAGGGTTCCCCCATAAGGGCTCAGAGCCCCCCAGTACAGGCTAAGGTCCCTGAAAGGGACCAAGATCTCCCCAACAAGGGATCATCTCCCACCTATGGGATCAGGCACTCCCCCTGTAAGGGCTCCGAGTCCCCAGTAAGGGAGCAGAGTCCCCCAGTAAGAGCTTGAGGCCCCTGTAAGGCTTTGGGGTGTCCCCCCATAAGGGATCTGTTCCCCCAGTAAGGGGATGGGCCCCCCCCATAAGGGCCCCGAGCCCCCCAGTAAGGGACCAGGGCAGGTCCAGGTCTCGGGGGAGATGCCACAGACTCACGAGGCAGCTTGTTGACGCGCCAGGGCACGGAGGCAGTGATGTAGCCGTGGCGGGCAGCAGTGACAAGGACCCAGGTGCCCAGGCGGTAGGCAACGGGCAGGACACCCGTGCCCTCATGGTCAGTGGTGCCGGTGGCCAGTGAGCTGCGGTTGCCGAAAACCTCAAGGATGGCTTGGGCCAGGGGGGCCAGGGTGCCACTCTCGTACACCTGCACCTTGAGCAGCACTTCTGCGGGGACAGAGGGCATGGCGTTAGCACAGGGACATGGGGACCTGCCACAGGCCCCCCACCCCCCACCCCTCTGGCCAAGGGGACTTGAGAAACAGGTGCCCGCAGCACCCTGTGTCAAGGTGGGCACCATCCCAGTGGGATCATGGGCACCGTCCCACTGGGCTTGTGCGCATCACCCCAGGGTTGACAGGCATCATCCCAGCAGACTGTGGGTACCATCCCAGCAGGTCATGGGCAGGCTGGGGGCCATCACGGTGGGTTAGTGGGCACCATCCTGGCAGGGTGACATGCACCATCATAACAGGGTTGCGGGCACTATCCCAGCAGGGCATGAACAATGTCCTGGCAGGATGGTGGGCACCATCCCTGTGGGTCATGGGCACTGTCCCTTTGGGGTGGTGGGCGCAATCCTGGCAGGTCATGGGCACCGTCCCAGTAGGGTTGCGGGAATTGTCACAATGGCTCATGGGCACAGTCCAGTGAGAGGGTGGTCACCCTCCTAACAGGGTGGTGGGCACCATCAAGGTGGGATGGTGGGCACTGTCTCATCAGGTCGTGGGCACCATCCCAGTGTGGCAGCAAGCAC